AAGCAGAATTTAGCCACAAGACAAAACCAAAGCATACTTTCACAACTTAAAAGATATACAAAGCCACTGACAACTTTGCCTCTACAATTAAAGTCACATGTATTTTTTAAATTGGGCCCATATTGACATAGTTAGAGCAAAATAAAAAAGTAAATGTAATTATATTCAAAAGTAAGATGTGTGAGTTGATAGAGCTAATCTTGGTTACTAACTTTAGATAACTGCTAAATTAAAGAAAAAAATAGTCACAATACACTTCACCTTCAGGCTGCTCGTTATTTTTTGAGGTTTGCTGAATCTTTTTCTCCCAGTCATTACGCTGCTGAATCCAATCGTCCCTGTAACCATTGCTAATCAGTTTGCTGAAGTTTACTGGTTCATTGTTTTTCTGACCAGGCCTATACAAAAATAAATAAAAATAAAATATATATCAGACAAGAGTTCAGAAATAAAACATAAGAAAGAATTGGCAGCAACCATTTTATTTTACAGAAAGGAGAGTGGCATCTTATACCAAGTTCTTTTATATGCAAGTAAATAACAAAAACAGAAATGTCATTTATATTATTTATTTTCCCATGGTTTAATTAGCATAATATGAATTTAACATGCTTCTTATAAAATAATGCCATAAGGTTTGCATAATCAATCATAATTAACCATAGTTTTTATCATAATTAAGAGACAAAATTTTGTAGTCCTCATTCAACAAAACTCAATTAATGGGAGATTTGTGTGATTGAGGGCTGCAAGATTTGGCCCTATAGCAGAATGGTAAAGTGAGATGAAAAGGGTAATTCATGTCAGAAATGGAGAAGTAAAGCAAATAAAAGTCAACAAGTTCAAAAACTAGATTCCTAAGCAATGTTAACTCTAAGGGTATAGCTACACACATTTTGGTGTGAGCCTCCCAGCCTGGGTTGACAGGCTTGGGCTAGCAAGGCTCATACTAGCACTCTAAAAATTGCTGTACAGACAGCGCTTTTAATTTGCGGTTTAAGCTCTGAAGCCTACGGAGAGGGGTGGGCTTCAGAGCATAGGCTTCCGTCTGAGCTACAACTTCAAAGTGCTGTCTAGACAATTGCTTTTAGAGGGCTAGCCTGAGTCCCATTACCATGTCTGCCAACCCAGAAAGGCAACTCATTCTAAAATGCTGTGTAGAAATACCCAAAGTTACATAAATGTGGCATTTTCTATTTCCATTTTTGCCATTATATATACATAATGTTTTTGTTCAAATTATTAAGCATAGATTATAAAACATATTGGAACTATACATTTATTCCTTTGTATTTTATAATAATTAAAATAAGTATTCTTTTAACAACTTGAAACCATCTAATTACACGCATAGCTAATTGATGTAATCACATGTTCATATCAGTTACCCTGGTTCTCCCTCCTATAGTTTGTTACACCACTTGTGTCTTGTCTTAAATTAGATGGTAAACTCTTCAAGCCACGATGGTAACTTAATGTGTCTATACAGAACCCAGACCAAACAACAGTCTCAATCTTAACTGGATTCTTTGCACACTACTTTAATACAAATAGTGATAATGGACATTATGGTCCATTCACTGGATTGCACTGAGAACCAAAAACAATCACTATTTTAAAAAAAACTCTTCTGTTTTAAAAAAAAACAACAACAAGAAAGTACTGGATGTGCACAATAAACATCACTGTAGGAACCTAAAAGTTTTGAATGTACTGACTTGTGTGTGCTTACTTTTTCAATTTTGTAGTTATATTTAATGGTACATCCTAAAAATTAAATAACATGACTTAAGTTACTTATAAAACCATTTTAATATTTCAGATAGTACATGTGGTAGCCTGAGAGTCAAAGTAGCTCAGGCCCATTACAGATATAAACCCTGATCCCACAAACATTTATATAAGTGAGTAAAGTTAAAATGTTTTCAGAATCAGGGCCTTAGTTAATACAATGTGTGTGCTACTTACATAGGTGGAAAATAAAGCCTATTTCCCCCGTGGAATTCCTTATTTGCAGTAGAGGGTGGTATTCTGTTTGGGTATTTGGGGTTTATAGCAGGAAGCTTTACCTGTGTTAAAGAAAACCTAATTTAACAACAATGTTATGATTAAGGAAATATACATGATCAGGGGACATCAGAAAAAGGGATTACTTTGGTAGCTCTAAATATCTTCAGTATTTGCACAATTCAAGGAACTAGCAGTAAGTTTAGGGAAGTAAATGATAAAACTGAAGAAAATGTGGTAACCTTATTTATTTATCACTAGTTATATTAGTAGGCTTTTAAGTGACACCACTAATAAATCTGCTGAGCCATAAGCATTTCTCTCTGACAAAAAAGAGTTGTAGTACCTTTCTAACTAAAACTAAGCCGCCAAATTAAAATTTAGCAGTCAAAGCTTCTCATCATGGCTCAGTCCACTGCATGGAAGAAATGAAAAAACTTTGAAGTTAAATCCTGGTCTGACTGAAGTCAATAGCAAAGCTCCCTTTGACTTCAGTGGGGTCAGGTTTCATCCCTGGTTTAAGAACCACAGTCCATTTGGTAAAGAAACATAGGGTCTCCCAGACAGTAATAAAGCCATTGTACTATATTAATCTGAGGTGGGAAATTCCAAATAATATAGACACACTGAAGGTGGCCTCAAAACTGAGCTTTTGCCCTCTTTAATTATGTAAAAGGAAGACCTGAAAGGTGGTGGTTTTTAAATTCTGCTTGTTTATTTACACTGCAAATTCAGGTTCAATCTAGCATGGAATATTCTTTGATACTTGGAGACCTAGTGAAATGGTCACATCAAAAGAGCCAAGAGAGTAAACAATGAGTAACTAAAGAGAGACAGGAATCTTAATGGGACTGTTTAAAACTGTTTGTATGTGTTAACATCTTTATCCAAAATGTTAATTAGCAAGTGAAGTTACAGGAAGTCTTGGTTAAAGGTTCAATACCCTTGCCTCTTCAATTAAGGTGCAGAAGTCAAAATAAATATTCCCCAAACCTCTCAGAGGTCCTTCAGCAATAATAGAGAAGACCAAACCTGACTTTCCCAATATTTCTAAGGTTAAAAAAATGCAGAAATGATGTTTTAAAACATTCTTTTAAGCTTCCTTTATACATCATAAATAAGCTAAAAATGGCACAAGCCCAATTTTTAAAGGTCACCTCTAAGAATTTTTAAGATCTTCTTTGTGTATTCTTTAGATTATTAGAACCAAAAAATATGTTCAAATATAATTTATCTACTAAAATATCTTATGTAGCTAGTTGAAAGTCAGTGTTACCATGACATTCCAACACACCAGAAGATATAGATATAATCACTGCTATCATATTATTACAAAAGCTTCAAGACTGGATGATTAGAAGTGAAGTATATTGCTATATAAATTAGCTGTGTACTACTGGGCATAGAGCCATACTGTATCAAGTTGGATCTGATCATTACAAGAAGATTATATATAATTGTTAAAGTACAAAATAATAAATATCAGAAATTGCAACTAGGTTGCAAGCCTTACAATATAATTTATTTTTATATAGTAACATTCATATGAAAATATAATTGAAACACCTCCAAAACAAATGCAGCTTATTCTTCTAAATACAAGTAAATTATGGAGGATGCAGGTAGCCTATGCAGATGTGATATGGTATGAATGAAGAGGAGTGCAATAAAAATGTGAAACGATTGAGCATGTACTAATTAGGAGGCCAGTGAAAGACAAGATACAATGAGAGGTGGTGAGGAGAGGAGGAAGAGGAGAGATGAATATTTGATGAGTGTGAGGAACTGGATCATTTCCCCTGCACCTCTATTTTATGGAGGACATATGAAGTCTAGGATAGAGCTTTTGGACTGATTCTGAAATGGAAAGACCGGGGTGAAATCCTGGCCCCCAATAAATGGCAAAACTTTCAATGACTTCAATGGGGCCAGGATTTCACTTAAGGTGATGGATTCCAGCGTCTGGTAATGAGTAAGATGATGGGGTTATTTCATTGTGGACAAAATGATTGTTGAAGAGTTGGGGCTTAAAAATGAAGAGATGGGAGATACTGTTGTCAAAATGAAAGGAGTTTACATGAATATTAGTTTTATGTCATGGTGTCTTTTACCCAGACTTGGAAGTTGTAAATTCTAGTGATTTAGAATCATTCTCCTACACTATCAAGTACTGAAAAATTGAGGCTCAGTTTTTCTAAGTGATTTGTTTGTGCTTTATATTTCAGAGTAATATTCTTAGGTGCACTGAATCTGTCTTATTGTTGCCTTCCTCTATCTTCATTATCAGCATTGTGAGTATTTTTTTTTATTTTTATCAATTTACATTTTCACAGTTGTGGGAAATTATGCAGAGTCACACAATGAGGGGGTCAGACAATAAATTGTTTAATGACAGTAGACACTGAGATTCAAAAAGTTAAAGCTTTATAACAGTTCAAACACAACCTGTCAACATCACAGCTCAAAATATACAAAATAAATAGCCTTAAATCAAACACTAATGAGATCTCAAGCAGCATTTTTCTAAGGCCTGATCTCACTGGAGGGTGGAGGGGAGGGGAATCGATCTAAGTTATGCAACTTCAGCTCAGTGAATAATATAGCTGAAGTTGACATACTTAGATCTACTTACCGCGTGTCTTCACTGCGGTAAGTCGACGGCTGACGCTGTCCCGTCGACTCCGCCTGTGCTTCTTGCTCCGGTGGAGTACCGGAGTCGACGGAAGAGCGCTTGGCGCTCGATTTATCGCATCTAGACTAGACGCAATAAATCGACCCCCGCTGGATTGATCACTGCCTGTCGATCCAGTGGGCCATGTAGTCAAGCCCTTACTTTGCTTATCCGTAAATTTTGATTAGTATTGATGGAAATATTTTTTCATTGATATGTATGTGTATGGTGAAATTGACATATATTGAAATTTGCTGATAAAAATCTAATCCTGCTGACCCTACACAAAGAGTACCACAGAAACACAGTTTGATATGGTTATGTATATTATGAACAGCAGATGGAACGAGAAAAACAGTCTGGTTTTGGCAGTGGAAAGAAACAGGAACATAAGATGGAAAAAAAAGAGAAGCCTAAACAATTACAAAAAGTAGGACAGGGAAAACAAAGTGCAGAGGTAGGCAAAACCCTACTGCTTTTGATTTTCATTAATCATTTTTATTTGACTTGAATTTCAACAAACAGCCACATTGCAGCTGAAGGCCAAGGAATAATTCACTGAAGGTGCTTCCTGAAGCTCTGAAAACCTTACTTGATTATGGAAATGAGAAAACTAAAAAGCTATTTTGCCATACTTATTGTGTAGACTTGTGCTCAGACTGTGATCAAGGCAGACTCTCATATTTTCATAGTTAATTTTGATAATTCTCCTTTTATATGCATTTCATGGGAAAACATGAAACAAATTGTATGTAAATCAAAGATTTCCTTAAATTACAAATGAACTGGAGATCTCGGTTTCTCAGCTAGAAAACAGCTCATTCTTCATCTTAGGAAAATCTAACTAAATTGGGACAGATGTTGGATTTACGTTCAAAAATATAGTTCTTCTCTTCTCTATGAAAAGTTTTTCCAGCTGCCTTTATGCTAAGTATATATGAATCATCTGAAAGCCATTCAGGCTGCTAACCCACTTGGATAAAACAGCAGTCTCCAGGGCTTCTCAGGCAACAGCCACCACAGCAACAACTCAAAGAAGCCAAACTAGAGAGAATGCTATCGGGGACAATGAAGCCAAATGTCATTTGCTTTCTGCTAAGGAGTACAGTTCTTTACATTACTAGTAGCTGAAAGCTCAAGCAATCACACGGGGGAAATTTGTACAGTCATCTTTGTAAAAAAGCAAAAAATGGCGGAGAAATTAAAAATTTGGAGGGTAACAAACTGAGAATCCCAGTGACAACCGAATGTGGTGATATTCTAAACATAATAAGCTCTCGGCAATGCCTGCAGCTGTTTCCATTGCTTCACATTGACTGAAAGACATTGTAGGCTTCAGAGTGATGTCGGGGGTTATTGTGTGTGCTGGTTCTGTCGTTGTGTGGGTGGCTGTGTTGATTTGTGTGTGGCTTGTACTGTGCTGGGAAATTTCTGTTGATCTGTGCTAGTGGGAAATGCGAAGCTATGTGTGTATGCGGTTATTGTGTATGCTGGTTGTGTTGTTGCATGCTTGGTTTTGAAGAACTGTGCCAGTTAGGCCAAGTAACTCAACATCTGTTCAGTCTCTCTCAAGCAACCAATGAAACTGTTGCATGAAAATTAGCTGTAGAGTAAGGGTGATGATTGGTTGAGTTATCTCTGATATCACAGAGATCTAGGACTCTTGGCATGGCATAAATACATGCCTTGCTGTAGCAGGGATGTAATTCATAAAAGTCAAAATGGCTGAGAACTTAAAAAATTGGATGGGAACATTCTGCAAAACCTAACGATAACTGAATCTGGTGATATTCTGAACAAAAAAATATAGCTTATAGCTGTTTTCATCACTTCACACTGGCTCTACAGACATTTTAGGTTTCAGCGTTACAAACTGTGACAATCATCGAATCTTATTACTGTATATAGATACAATATTAAAAGCTGTGTAACTGTGGTTCACTATTACTATATTTTAAAGTCATTTTATGGAACAGTGGGTCATTTATGTACATTCCAGTGTAAAGTGTTCCAATTTTTTTTGGAGACATTGACAATTAAAAAATTCTGTAAATAAACACATTTCTTTACATATGTTTTTTAAAACACCATCAATTACTAAATAATATAATTCTTTTAAATGCTCACATTTCATTATTTATGCTCTGCTTATTTTTGCATTTTCCTTAGCAATGAAGTTGATTCCAATGGGTGAAATTCCTCTCTGTGTAGGATATCAGCACAAAATGTATGCATAATTTCAGTCTGAATAAGTGGATCATAGGCCTTGTGCTAGCCTTTTGCATAGGAGTGAATTTCACATTCAGGTTCTTAGTTTCAAACATTACCTGGGAATGATTGTTTAAAAACAATTGCTTTCACTGAAGTTTTTTAAAACTTTGTAGATGAGTCTACTGGCCCTATATTTTATAAAAACGTGTCAGAAGCACTTAATTTTTCTAGGAATAAAGGGTAAAAAAATATGAGGAAGCAAAGAAATTTTAAGGTATCTATACTTGAAACCTACATCTTATTGTTAAACCTTTTTGCTGTTGCTTCTCATATGCTCATATTGTAAATAATGAGCTTTCCTATGTGTTAAATAAAAATAGATGAATTTAAGATTTCTGTTTTTAGCAACAAGAGTGAGAGAGAGGAAAGAAAGCTGAGTAATTAATGTGGTTCAAATAAAAATCGGTAGTAATATTGCACATCTCTGTGATTTAGTGTTAAAGCCTTATTCAAGTCTAGGAGTTCTGAGATTACTCTTTAGAGTTTTTAAAACTAGTTTTTAAATTGTATGATGTGTCCTGCTAACTATATATAGGAGGATTCTGACATAATTTTACTACTGAGCTCAAATATAGTCATGGGGGAAAACAGGTTTCTTCTTCCATAGTAACGGAGCAAGACCAGTAGTTCACTTGGGAGCTTATTTTGAGTTCCACTGCGTATCAGTTGGGAATCAAAGACCAGAGATAGAAATGGCCAAAGCACAGAACTGGTACACAGGAGATTTGAGTTTTAGTACCAACTGTGTCACAGACTCCCTTAGGGACTTGAGCAAGTCATTTACTCTCTGTATCCCAGTTTTCCTATCTGTAAAACTGATGACAATGACTGCCTACTTTACAGGTGGCGAGTCTTAAATCATTAATTTTTATAAAATCCTTTGAAGTCCTTGAAGATAAGGCACTATAACAGTGAAAAATAACTGCATTATAAAGCATCTCTAAAAAAAGGAAGAAGATTGAGTGACAATGATCAGGTTATCCTTTTTTAAAAAAACCTTTTTAATTTTTGATACTGAACTTAGTTTTTAAAAATGTGTTTGAAAAATTTTAATTCTAATCACATACCTACTGCTAAATCTTGAATAAAAGTGATTTAAAAATGCATAATTCCCAAGAAGTTGTTTACAATACAATGTAAACTGTCCTGTACACATAACAGAGTTAATAGATGAGATACTAGGAGATAAGTCTTAAAAAAAGAAAAGAAAACAAGAGTAATTTTAGCCCTAGAAGAAATAAAATTTTAGAAAAGAAGTTGAGACAGTCAAGTGCTGTATTATAACATAAATTAAGTCCGCTTTTGGGAACAATACTTTTTGGAAAGGCAATATGTACTCTTGGACAGTATTGTAAAATGATTACTGCATTAGGCAAATTTCTTTTCTGTCAAACCACACCCCTATGTTAGTGATATACGCACCTCTTTTGTGTTGCCCACATGGACCTCAACTTGAGCAGCATTTTCCTGATAGGAGAATTAGTGAATATTGTAACTTATGCAAGAGACATGATTTAAGATGCTTGCCTTTTGTAAATTGCAATAAAATTTACTGATAGTTGTTGCAAAATTTGACTTGCAGGCTATCACAGGTAAAATGGGGAAAAAGACCAGCCCTGGAAACATTGTATCACTGCCTTAGGCAAAAGGAGTCCCACTGAAATACCCTTGCATACCTCTCAATCTGCCAATGCTCAAAAAATGAAATAATGGCTAGGAAGGAGGGGGAGAAAAGTTACATTTTAGGATGGTTATGTTAAAAAAAATCTGTACCAATACCTAAATGTCAAATTTCAAAGATTCAAAACAATAAGGCAGCATGATATAGTGGCTTGGGAACTACACTAGAAGTGGGAGGCTTGGGTTCTATCCTCAGCTCTGTCGCTGACCTAGCGTGTAATCCTGGGCAAGTTGGTTCATCTCTTTGTACATCTGTTTGTCTGCATTGCCCGTTTAGATTGTAAGCTTTTTGGGACAAGGTGTGTGTCTTTCTATGTGCCCACACAGTGCCTAGAATAATAGGACTCCAATTTTGATTGGGACACTTAGGTGCTACTGTAATGAAAATAATTAATAATGTGTTAATGAGGCCATTAGAAGATGCTGCACTATCACTAGTACGCTGTTGATACTCTGTTCAGCATCTCTTTCCTTTAAACTTTGATTCCATGATTTCTTAGCATTCCTCATGCCAAATCAATGTGAGGTCATCATGGATGAAATCTAGCTGGTTTAATTCAATTTATAACATGAAATCTAAATAAAATTGAAAAGATGCTGGTGGTGGAGAAACATCTTGAAAAGCTGATGTATATTACGACTGCTCCTTCCAATTAACAGGTAATGTTTAGACTGTTTCTAAATGGTTCACAGTTTCCAGGTCTTATTGAATCCTTCATTGCAGTTTCTCTGATGTAGGCCTCATCACTACAATTAACGTTTTTGTTATTTTCATGTTGGACTAAGGTAATGTGATGTACTTAGGGTTACTGTTAATAACCACTTGAAACCATCAGTATAGCATAGCTAGCTATTCGCCTTTTAAGAGGGCAAAATCCATGTGACCATCTAATACCAGTGTTTCATGCACTGGCTTTCAACTTTCTTCTGGGTGCAATTAAAGATGCTGGTTGGTTATCTTTAAAGCCCTTAAAGTCCCAGGGCCTAGCTATCTCAGAGACAGGAAAAATATATATTTTGCAATTCTGCTTCTCCAAAAATACCACTTTGAAAGATTCTCAGTCCTAGGTCTTAGCCTCTTACAATAAGATTGGTGGAACTCTGCTAGCTCTTAGGCTTTTGACCATTAAAGGCAGTAGTAGCAGGGCAAAGCATGTTTCAGGCCTTAACTGGTTATCATGCATCAACTCTACCCAAGTCCAAATGCTCCTCTCCAAATAGTTCACTTAGTTCTGATTGCATAAGACGTGAAGCTCCTACTAACAGTAAACCAGAACAAGATGATTAACACATGATAAAAAAAGCCTTAAATAAAAATGAAAGAAAAGGTACAAAGTGAAAGACATCTCAAAAGATAATAGGTAAACTCTGAATAGAAGTAGGTGATAGAGAATCCTACAGCATAGCTTCTCAGAAAAAAAGAATTACAAAACAAGTAATTTTCTCTTCTCTAAAAATATAATCTATACAGGATTCTCACTCCTGAATAGTAAAAATTTGAGGGATGTCTTCCCCACACACCAAAAAAAAAAAAAATAGTACAGCTGCCACAATAAGGCCAATGCCTATAATATGACCTGGGAAAGTATAATTTTTTAAATAAATACATAAAGAAGGCTACCTCTCAATAAATAACATCAGACATAATTCAAATCTTTAGAATCGATCACTAGTCAAGAAAGTTGATATAAAAGTTGGCTAACTGAAAATAAGAAACAAAAATACTTGGGGATGGGTGAGAAAGTTTGGCCACCTCTATTTGTGAACAAGTTCTAGAGCACTGAACTGTTGAAATCGAATTCCTTCTTGAAACCTGAATACAAGCAATAATTATATGTAAGTATGCAGAGAGATCACTATGTAGCTGCTACATATATGTCTGTGATGGAAACATTCCCGACCCAGGCAGCAGTGGTCATCTTATCTTGGATAGAGTGTGGACATGGCTTAGCTTCATGTCAGCCAGGTCATAGTAATGAGAAATGGAATCATACAGAACTTGAAGAATATTAGCAGGACAGTATGCTCAGTAAGGTGGAACTCCAATATCACATTGGAGAGGAAGTGAAAATGAGTCTATAGCAATACCACACCCTTATGAAATTTGGCATAAGGCAGTTCAGTCACTACAGCAGAAATTTACTTAATCTATGAGCTGAAGTCATTGCCACCAGAAAAATGAAGTTCCATGTAAGAAATTCTTCTATGTAAATTACTTTAGGGGTCAAGAGAATACAAACCACCAGCCTGTGGACACCTTGCCTACAGATCTCTATCATGACAGAAGCTATCCAGTTAGAGAGAGAGGTCTGGAAATGGGATGGAACAAGGTGTCCTGGTTCTAAAGTGATTATCTGAGGCAAGACTCTCAGCTTGATTGGACTAACTTTGACCATCTGCAGCAGAGCTGAGCACCTTATTTGTCTGAATCACCAGGAAACTTAAGATCAAACTTAGTCTTATCTAAGGTCTGCCATTAGCTTTGTTACAAATGGGATCAGGTGGAAGGCATAAAGGAACTTCTCACCCCAGGGAATGGAGAAGTTGTCACTTGCTAATGTGGTCTTTTCTTGCTAATGTGGTCTGTCATTCATAGAGGACCAGTAACTTCTTGTTCCAGTAAATGGTGAAGAGATTCACTTTCAGCATGGCCCACCGAAAGATCAGCTCTGCCCCCACAGTGATACAGAGACCACTTGTGAAGATCTGTCATTGTTTGACTCAGTATGTCTATGATCATGTTCTTTTTCTCTGCTATGCATATGACAACCAGGATTGTCTTGAGACAGAATGCACTTTCCACCTGCAAGGCTTCTGGATACAAGAAGCCCTGAGTCTCACACATCCTAGTGCCCTTCTCCAATATAGAATGTGGTGGCCTGCTTGTCCGTTTGAATCAGGATCACCTTTTGGGGGCATTTTGAAGCTCCATACAGCATTCAGGATTAGAGCTGGGTGAAATTTTTTGGATGAATAATTTATTTGCTAAAATATGCAGTTTCAGTTGACCCAAAACTATTTGCAAATTTGAAGCAAATTGATTAAATAGTTTCAGCTACAAAAAAAAAAATGAAGGAGGAACCCTCCTTATAAAGGTTACCCCAGTGGTTAGAACACTCACCTGGGCTGTGTGGGAGACACAGGTTCAATTCCCCTTGTGATGGGCTGTATCTACCCTGCACTGACCCATCTGGGGTTAACCGCACATTGTGGGATGAAGAGGCAGTGCCCCCTCACTCCTGTTGGCATGCTCAACCTGGAGACAGGATATAAAAGGGAGTGACCCAGCTCAGTTTGGGCTGGCTGAGGAGAAGAGTGGACACATGCTGCCAGCTCCTGCCAGGGAGTTACTGGCGCTACAGACTGTGAAGGCCAAACCAGTGAGATCAACAGTGAAACCCCCATTGACCCTGGAGGATGAAAGTGAGCCAGAAAGCCAATGTCCCCAGGGGAACTGACAGAGCAGGAACCAAGGGTAGGAAGCGATCCAGGAAACATGACTGTTAAAATAGGAAACTGAGCCAAACTGCAGACCACTGATTTCACAGGGCCCTGGGTCGAGACCCAGTGGAGAAGGGTGGGCCTGGATCCCCTTACCCCACACCTACCACAGGGTGTGGGCATTGCTCAGGGACTTTGGCTGTTAGGCCATGCTGCCCCAAGAGCAAGAGCAGCCCCAAGGAATCTGTCCAGTAGGCCAAACTGCCCTGCTTTGTAGGCTAAGACAGCAGTACCTACTCTAGCCACTTGAGTCATAGCCCCTTATTTGTGGCATGCAACCGGACACCCTGTGGCATTCTTTCTCTGCCTTATGTGGAGCAGAAATTTGAACTGGGGTCTACCCCATTGCAGAAGTACACCCTAACCAGTGGACTATGGGATATTCTAGTGTAGAGCTTTCTCAGTCTCTCCTGTTGAAGCTGTTCCACTTTGTATGAGTAGTCATTAGAGCAAGGACTTGAGTCATCCACAGCCTACGAAAGTGCTCTAACCACCAAGCTATAGAGTCATTCTCACACACTTTTCCTGGATCAGTGACCATTCATATTCATTCGCTGTGACAATTCATACATTCACATCACATGCCTCCAGATGTCCTAATGACACATATGGGTGAGCATAGCATCAGTGAAGAGGGAGCTGAAATCTTTCTTAAGGACTGAGCTTTGTTCACTTAAATGTTACGAGTCTTAAAAGTACCAAGAGCCACCTTGGCAGAATGTGGCTTTGGAAAAAACTGCAAATTGTACGATTGTATGATTGACATGGAACTTGAACACAATCTTTGGCAAGAAGCTTGAAGTGAGGGGGGATGAAGGTTAAGGAAAAGATCTCCCAGGCCCCAGTTTTCCTGGACATGGCAACTGTCAGAAACCCATCTTTTAATATCAGGAATAAGAGAGTTTCTCATAATTCAAAAGATAAACACACAGAAGATTGAAGAATCAGCAGTAGAGCCCAGAAGGGAACTTTGTTTTCTAGACTGGACTAAATAGGAACCCTCCAAGGTAAAATGTTTTTGCACTTGTCCTTAAGGGTTTCCTTAAGTACATCCTTAAGGGTTTCTTTCTATGACTGCAGCAAACAACTTTTGTACCCTAAAGAACTGTGTCTAATGATTCTGAACTTCAAAATGGCACTTTGCTTTCAAAATTTTAAACCAAAGATTGTTCTGTTTCTGCATTCAGAACCTTAGCTCTACCCTAGCAGCTAACTACAAATTATCTAAAGCATCACCATCAAATAAGGAAATGGAAGACTTATTGGAATTTTGTTTAAACAGCATTAAGAATCCATTTGTAAAAGTTCAACAATATAGATTGCAAGGCCACGATACTAGAATAAAAATTATTCCATAATGCTCTCTCCATTTTTTTACTAGAAGAATCTGTAAGAAGGAGAAAATATTTGGAAGAAAGGCATTCTTAAACAATAACAAGATAGAAAATCTTTATGAGGGGGGCAAAGAGGTAAAACTGCTATGAAAGTGGGGCATGCCATGATATTTCATGTTAAATGGAAAATTCTTCATAACTGCCACCGGAAGAGATCCACAAACAAGTAGAGAAAAATCACTCTTGAATCTTCTGCAGCCAAGACATTTTCTTCAGTAAAGGCAGACCATTTCCCCAACCTATGCAAGTAGTGTTTAGATTGAGTAACCCCTCAGAAACACATTCCTCCTCCAACTTGTCATAGAAGTCAGATATGTGCTCACCTTCCTCTTTAGGGTCTAATTCATCAAGGTACTTAGAGCAGAAAAATCCTGAAGGAAAAAGCTGAAATGACAATGCATGAACCAAGGGCTCTAGGGAGGAGGACAATAAGGTAGGAACCAAAATAAAATTTAAACTAGAAAGAGTTAAGTGGTCAGAGATATCATCTTAGATATCTTAGGGCATTTAGCCTATGGGAGTTAGTTTTTAGATTTAGCATCTTTGAGTCAAATTCAGCAGTGGTGAAAACGGTGGCGTAAATTACATGATGGTCCTCAACAGATTAGAAAGCAGGTCTAAGTAGCATAGTGTAATGTATTCCAATTTCAGATTCAGTGGAGCTACAAAATGAATATAAATTACTGACTTGGAATGCTGTGGACCAAATTATGGCCTTGGTACAAATAGTCAAAACTCCCATTGAAATTAACTTGTTATGCCTGCTCACCCTGGGGATAAACTTGGCCCCAGATGTGTTGACAACAGTGGGATCCTAAGCAGGAGGATCAAGGGACCTGTTTTATCTTACACCCTCCTGTTTTCATCCTTTTAAAAATGAAAAAGCTTCCTCCCCTGCTTACATCACCTTGAAATTTAACCAGGAGGCTTCCTTGGGAGCTTCTATTTTAAGTATTGGTTATTTAAGTCTTCTTGGGGACTGGATAGTTCAGGAAATAAACTTCATGTCTCTAAATTATTATCTAAATTACAGTGTAATCACCTGACAAGTGTTTGATTGCTTATGTGGAATGACAAGATGTTCCCTGCCCAGTTCTGTATGGACAAATATCATTACAGGAGCCCCAATTCCCAACTTCACTAACTAGTAGTTTCAGCAGAATGCAAGGTAATTTGGCCCAAATTTGCACAAGTGACTTAGGTTCACAACTTGAAATACCTAGAGCCTGATTTTCAGAAGTACCCCTTTGACTTGAAGAGAAGTGGTGGTGTTCAGCACCTTTGAAAATCAGGTCCCAGGTGTCTGAAACAAAGCATGAAAAAATTGAGCACCCAAAATTAATGAACATGTAAAAAAAAAAAATGTAGGCTTTAACTACCATCACAGGTAGCTTCAGCCAGGTCAAGATCAATCCAAACTAGAAGGATAATGTGTGAAAAATTGCACTAATGACTGCTTGTGCTGTACCTATTTTGTGGATAAATGGAGGATATCTGTTTCCAGAACTGGTACCAAAGCACTTTTCAGAGTATTTCCTCAATTAAACTAAACACAAAACCCAAACAGTCCCCTGAACATTCACCTGTCTCTAACAAGAAAAGATCCAGAGAAAGGCCTATATTGGCAGAGAGTGAATAGAAAATAAACTGCATTATGAGAGATGACTGGAGAATATTTCACTTTAATTAACTTTGCAGTATACGAAATGTACAATGTGACTGAAAAATGCATTCCTGGTACAGTATGCTGCAACAAGAACACTTCATGACAGAACTATGTATTTTAAATCACTTCTGTAACTTCAGTACAAAAATGTGTTGTTCTAATGCACTGCCACTCCCCTTAAGAAACAAAAAACCCACTTAGTTTTTTTCAGAAGTTTTACACCAAGAAGAAAGTCTTTAAATCGTACCTTTTTTTTCTCTTTGTTCTCCTTGTCCTCAGCATCCCTCTGCCAAATACTTTTCATATCAAAATCAAAAGGCCCTCTTTTTGTTTCATAGTTACCATTGAGCTGATCAGACTTAAACTCTTCATGAACCATGTAGTCAGGCACTGAGGAAACATGGGCTCTGTAGACCAAGGTTTCACAATTATTTTTCTATATTATTTTTCTATTGCAAAAGTATTAATTCAAAACATAAAATTTAACAGACTAACAAAAGAGAAATACAGTGGATTATAAAAAGTTACACAGCCTCCATGGAATCAGAGCATACTTACTTAGATTCATCATCTGGTGGTGGTTTACTGTGGTGTGTATACCAGTCAGGTGCAGCATAAGCTACTGGGGATGTTTTTCTTGTACTAGGTGTAAAATGTTTCAACAAATCTTAAGTTAAAAAAAAAGATACATTAATGCTGTAGTATTTTCCAGGGTTATAAATTAATATTTTTATGTTGCTGTTATCTTTTACTAAATTTTTTTTATAAAAGAAATATTTCTATTTGTAGCCCTTACTGAGATTCAATTGGACAATCAGAACTTTCACTACTTTTTAATCCTAATGGGATAGTCACCAGCAGTGATTACCCACAAAGCCAGCAAGTGGCAATAGTTTTGACGGTCTGGACAATTCATTTTTTCAATATTATTTCCAATACTGTATTTCAATTGTATCAGGTATCTCATTTTACATATCTTGACATACAGTTGTATAATACAGTGCCTGATAATACATGTGGATGTATTTCTCATTTTACAGACTGGGAATCATTGAAACTCTGTGGAAAATTTATGTCCATTTAAGTTTTTCACATCTTCAATGAGCTGAAAACAAAATATATGTATAATACAAACTATTTACTTGCAAAAACTGAAAAGTAATTTTAATAAAACCTTTACAGACTTTTTCAAATTTTATGACAATTTCACCTCCCCCCCCCCCCCACAAGTTTCAATGCTAAAAGGTATATTTTTACAGTTCTAATAAACCTTTCAAAGTTCAGTACCCAGGCAGATACTTTCTCTGTTAAACACAAAATAAATTGTTCAGATCCCCATGTAATGCAGCTAACCTGCCAAATAATTTATGCTGTGGTTAGAATATATCAGCATTAACATACCCAGATTTTATCATAAAGGCTTAACAATGTTCTAAATTCAATTTAATAGGACTAGAAAAAGCGTTCCGGATCAGATGGAATATACTTTAAGAGCTAATCAATGGATTTTAGCCTAATAATAATATTTTAGCCATGAAAGATGGAAAAGGAAGGGCACAAGCTGAAGCAGAAAACTGTTAAGACTCAAACAATGAAGTATTGGGGTTATTGCATGTGACATTAGATTATAACGATTACATTTACCGATAAAGGTTTTTGCATTGTTTTCTTGAGGATTCAACATATTTCAACAACATACAACATTTCCCTTTCTACAGTTTCCCCTCAAATGTATCACTTTTAAAATTGCTGGAACAGTCTCCAGTTATATTTGTCAAATGTTTAAGCTTCCCAAACCACCAATAATGCTCAAATGAACTGAGATTCACCAGGTCGGCCTCCTTGCTTTGCCAGCTTTACATATTCTGAGTCTGTGTCTTTGATCCATTTCCTGCGGCTCCCAAATGTAATTTCATTGTGATACTCTCCGAGGTTGCTCAGACCTGGGATCTGGGATGGTGGAGGGATTGGGATTTCTGAGTTCACAGATTTCTCTGATCGTTTCAGTGGAACATGGTAGTACCATTCTATAATCATTAAGAAAAAAATATTTAGGCTAAATGTTTACTGATAACATTACTGTGTCAAAGAGCAGATTTAATAATCAAAGTCCACATTAAATTACAGTGTAACATACTACATTTTATTAAAGATGTAATAGATATGAAATGCTCAATAAGAGAATAATAAATACTTGCTACTTCTAGGTGATCACACAAAAACTGTGATACCACTGTAGAGCCTTGTTTAAAAAGCCTTTAATGTTATTTCAAATTGTCACTGCAACTGTCCTACAATACAATGTTATGTATCTTCCCCATTCAGAGAACTAGGTTAATGAATACCGAGATCAGTAAAACGCAAGAAGACAGCAGTGGAAAGCATTAATTCTTTGGTGACCTTTCTTCCTTCAACTATTAACAAAAAACACTTTTCTGCTATCAACTCTTTACTTGTTTTAGTTAACTACTGAAATATAATCTGAAGAAATATAATGATTAAATTAAACAGAGCACTAGAGAGCAAGCCACTTTCACAATACACCTAATTTCTTCTAATTTAAGATGAGTTCCAAGCATTGCATGGCTGAGCAATCTTTCAGTGCACTAGACCCAGTCAGGTTAAGTCATTTGCTGGACATCTCTGCATACTGCTGAGGTGCCATTTTAAAAGACAACCTGAAATCAAGTCAGTTTCAAAAAGTGAGCTGGGAGTAGCTTGATGTACTACACCTGCCCTTGAATCTGACTCCCAAATTTTGTAGTTTTACACTCACATTTTCCTTTCCCCCCCGCTCAAACATTTCCACTCCCATTACTGTAGGAAAAACCCACACAAATAAGGGAAATGGACGGCTGACTATATGGGAAAAATGGTTAAACAGAATAGACACAATTGTGCTGTCAAAGCACAAAGTAAATATACAGGAAAAAAGAGAAGATTTTTATTTACTAATCTTAAATTATAACAATCTTAGATGTTACTTATAGCAAGTGTAGGTAAAACATGTTCAGACAAAACTGTGGTTTTTAAGTAAACAGATCTTCCATTGAAATCAGTTAATATATTCCATGTAATGGCAATGGAAGGAGTGTATAAATGACTATTAAAAAATAAAAGATCTTTCCTTAGTGGCAGAGGCAAGACGCATTAGATTGTTGGGTTTTTTTTCACCACACTTACTAATTGGTCCACCTGGAATGGGATGTTTCATCGAACTGCTCATTATCAGGAATCTTTTCATCCTAGTTAACTTGCTGGGTAAGTACCAACTTGGAACCCTACCTTATTCAAACATATTTGTTGTGTTTGTATTTAATACTTTAAGCCCAGCGAGTTTTCAGAGTTGAATTACAAACTCTTTAAAATTAGTTTATAATGGAAAATGCCAATGGCCTACCCATTGGCAACAGAAACAATTTGAGACCTTCTGGGACCCTCCTGTAAAAAGGACCCGTGACCCCAACTGAACAGGCTACCCTATGTTCTGATTTATAAACCAGACTGTGAAATTTTAAGGCTGGTTTTATCTCAGTTGAGTTTCTCTCAGGCAGCACTGGGGAAGCAGAACATCTGCACGATTTAGAAAGCAACAAAATAACTCTTGGTATGGAAAGAGCAAAAGGTTCAGTCAGGAGCAACAAACAAAAATCATGCTCAAATCTGTAGGAAGCGTCTGAGGAAGACATACTGCGGGGGGCAACTCTGTGATGTACCTTGGAATCTCCCATAAATCCTTAAAACTCTGTTAATAAACTAGAACAAAGAAAACACAAACTACTGATTTACAAGACAAATATTATTCCATCACTACAAATTCCACACAAACCACTACATTAAAAAAATTTAGTTAACTTCATCAGAGTAAATTCACTTCCTTCTTTCACAATGCTATTTATAAGAAAAAGTGACTTTTAGATCTGAGTTGACTAATTTTCTTGAAAAATGGTGACTGCTGCTGGGTACTACAGTATGCAAAACTGAAGTTTGGGAACAACCTTGGGTCTTTAGGCCAGTACTGAGGCATGTCCTGGAGATGATGTCATGATGCTCAGGGCAGATAAGGTCACTTGGTAAAGTGCATCTAACTAGCTGGATTATAGTGTGGGTGGCATTAGCTTCTGCCTTGACACAGGAGAGGGGGGTGTTCCAGACAAGGAAAACAGATGAAGGCCAAAATGGGAAATGGTTGTTTCCTCACATTGGTGAGATTGAAGAGCATCTCAGAGTCCTGTCTTGAATGTCTTGTGTGACCAGGCTAGAAAGAACCCAAAGGAAATTCCACTATCAGCCTCATCCTTCCCCACCAAAAATATCAAGGATTACGGCATTGAGGGATGCATGTTCCCCACAGCATAAAATGCTGATATAGTAGATAGTATATGTGAAGTCTCCCTTCTTAGGAAGCAAAGGGTTCCATTCATTTTTCATACCCAAGATATGTCAAAATGTGCATTTACATAAGGAGAACAAACAGTATACTTGCCACAAGGAGCATATCGGTTGGGGGGTCCAGAGGGCTCTTTGCTCATATTCCTCATTCCTCAAGCCTATATGAAGGAAGGGTCAAAAAAGGAAAGACAAAAATAGTTATTTAACAGGAGCGTAGACAACTTTTTTTTTATTGGGGCAGGGCTAAAGTTAATAATAAAATAACAACTGTTGAATATCGCTTCAGTGAGTAGCTTTGTACCAAAATTAAGTCTGCCCACTTTTAATTAAGTGAGATAAACAAACCTCTGTTCCAGGCTCAGGGGTTCCTGATTTGTTGTTCTTTTTGAGGGGCTACAGCCCCTCCAAATCCCCAGTTGTATTTGCCCCCGTTTAACCAGATGGTGCATAGCCCTGCCCCTCTCCCCAGGCTCCTAGTGCCCTACAGTCTGGCCATGACCAGCATAAGGCAGGGGTCCCCTGAACTAAAGCAGCCACCTGGGCATGGTGGGATTTAGCCTGGAAGCCCCCACCCCGAACAAGGGAAAGGGCTCAGCTTGACACCCCCCACCCAACCTGGTACCCACAGGGAGGCACAGACACTCCACCCAGACAGACAGACACCCCCACCCCCTCAAACACCCCTACCCCCTGACAGACACGCCACCCCTCCCCCCACTTTCGGGGTCCCTTACCAGGAGTGCGGGGGGGGGCAGGTCCCTTTGGAACTCGGCTCACGCGCGCGCTGGAAGGAACCGACCCAGCACCACGCCGCCTTCAGCAACAACCACAACAATCCCCGTTTCCACGGCAACGGGGACTCTTTCAGGGCCGCGCGTGGCGGAGGCGGGACTCCAGGGGCCAGAGGGAAGGGACGCGGACGGGCCCGCGAGCCGCTACGGACGTCGCGCGCGCGAAGGGGAGGGTGAGTGAGTGAGTAACGGGACCCGCCTCCCGGCAGGACCCCACCCCGATGGGCTGCGGCCTCAGGCGTGGCCGTGGCACGTGATGGGCACCGGCACCTGTGCGGGTGGTGTTAGAGCCTGGGTGGGGCTGTAACCCGTGGTCCGTCTACACTGCATAGCCCTTAGGGACCGCATGTAGCGCACAGGCACCGCCCGCCCCTAGCACCGGGATAACTTGCATTCTGATGAAGTGGGCATTCACCCACGAAAGCTTATGCTCCAATACTTCTGTTAGTCTTAAAGGTGCCACAGGACCCTCTGTTGCTTTTAGCAATGTAGAGGGTGAGGCGGGGCTTAGGAGGCTATTATTAATTGAGCTGGCTCCATCAAAGCTAGCTCGGGTATGCCCAGGCTTGCTGCAGTTGCACCTCTGATTGCAGCATACCTTGTACTGTGGCCCTGTTGAGTGCACTCCATGGTCTGTTCTGCCTCAGGGTGCGCTAAATGTGATTGGCATGTTGGTGACTGTAGGGTTACCATATTTTAATTTTTAAAAAGGAGGACACTCCATGGGGCCCTGGCCCCACCCCAACTCCGCCCCTTCCCCGCCCCACTCTGCCCCCTCCCCTGAACGCTCCGCCCCCTGCTCCTCCCCCTCCCCTGCTTCCCGCGAATCAAATGTTCGGGGGAAGCCTGAAACAGGGAGGCAGCAGGTAAGCTGGGGCGGGGTGCAGCGCGGCCCAGTCCGGCCCCCCTGGCCGAGCGGCTCCCTCCGGCGGCTGGCCCGGGCCAAGAGGCTCTGGCCCCGGCGTCTCCCGCCCGGCTCGGGCCCTGGGGCGC